GAATTTTTTTTGCATTAATGTATTATCCCCTATGACATCTGTGGAAGCAATGTACTGTAATGGCCTAATGGGTAATTATGCTAGCATGTCAGAATAAGATATTTTTTTTTTCTTTCTGTTCTTTTCTTTTTATTACTTCCTGTGATGAATTTTTCATACAATTATCAGAGGCTGTCCCAAGGCTTACCACCCAGCGTGCATTAAGCGAGACGAAGCATTTTTTCGGTCAAAAGCTAAGTGGAACTGCGGTGTGTTGCCTTTTGCTATCATGGAAACTTCATGAGTTCTAGTACCTTTATTTTCGTTAATCATTACGGAATAGCATTTTCTTTTACCTTATATTCTGCTATCATGGGTATTCAATTGTTTAGGGAAGCGTTGTTTGAGAAACGAATAAAATCATTTTAGAGTTTAGATGTTTGATTATTTGTTGCACATGCATGACACTTTGATTTTTCTATATGTTATGCCTAATATGCGTTTCTTGAATTGATAAGATGCTTCCCAACCATGGTGTTTTCCTTAATTGGACTCTATCCTTCTGTCATCTTGTAGTCATACATGCAAGTTTTTCATTAATTGAATTTAAGACATCAATTCATGAATAAGCATTAACTGGTGGAATATCTGCATGTCGCCGATTTGTATTATGGTGTTATTGTTTTCAGGATGGCACATATGTAGTGTATGTAGGAAGGCTTCTTATTCTATGTGCTACACGTGCACCTATTCGCTGTGCAAGGGGTGTACTGAATATACAGATTATGTACGTATCAGAGGAAACAAGGGATTTTGCTCGACCTGCATGAAAACCATCATGCTGATTGAGAATAAAGACCAACCGAACAATGAGGTATGAAAATTGAAAATCGCTTCAGTTCATGTTATCTCATTGGATAAACTGCATTCATGTTGCTATCTCCTCTTATGCAATATGCATATGTTTGTTCCCTTATTTTTGTAGAAGTTACTTTCACTTATGCAACAAGGGATATCATTTGTTCCTTTCCTTTCTTCTTTGTTTCTTAATATTTCTCAATAAGGAAAAGTTTGCATTTGCACGAACATTTATCATGCTGTTTGTTTGTATTTCTATTTTGATTTATCCTTCTTTCACTTTCCCATTTTCTTTTTGGTTTTGTAAATTTGTGCCTCCCTTCCGTTTTTATGTGTTTTCGGGTTAATGAGCTTTGCAGAAGTGTACTTGTCCAGACCAGTGGTATACTTTTTATTTTCGGCAAAGAAATGTTAGATTGAACCTTTGGGGTTGCTTTAATTCTGTCTTCTGTTTCTTTCTTTCCATCTTTATTTTTCCTCAGTTTTGCACTATCCAATTAGAAATTCTTTTAACTATTTTTTAGGCTTATGATGTCATACGTGTTGTCATTACCTGCATCTATTGTAGCCATAGAAATGGTTCTCTCTCTCTCTCTCTCTCTCTCTCTCAACCTTTTACTTGTTTATAAAAGAGGGGCTTAAAAATTACTGGTTTACTGGTTGCTTCCTGCTTTGATAATGAAAATTTTGGTCTGTAATTGGGTCATGCTATTCATGCTGAGAAGGACAGAGTTTGCATCTTATTCAGTAGGTGCTCGTTGTGGAAATTTTGGTTGAGACTTATATTAGTTTTGTGGCATCTCTCTTTACCAATATTAACTGTCCAAGACGGATGTATATGATCTGCGAGTCTTACTATCATATTGTTTATCCAAACCAAACCAATCTGGTATGGTTCTTGGATAAGTGCTAAATATTCTGTCATTGCATGCAGTAGGAAAGACATATTTAGCACTCCCTGTGGGTAATTTGCATTTATCTGTATTTGGTATGTTTAGTAGCTTATGCACACTAATCTGGCCTGGAACATCATTTCTTGCCCTGACAGCTGTCAACTTATGCTGATTGTTCTTTTCGTTTTTGTGCAGATTAAGATAGATTTTGATGACCAGACTAGCTGGGAGTATCTTTTCAAGGTCTATTGGGTAATCTTAAAGGAGAAGTTGTCATTGACACTGAACGAACTTACTCTAGTTAAAAAACCCCAGAAAGACGTGACTGCTGTTGGTTATATACCCTCGAGAAGTATTTTGATTCCAACTGCAGTTAGTGTAGAAATTCCTGTTACTTGCAGTAGTACAGATGCTTTGGATTCGAAGAAGTCCGATGTAGAAAATGATTTGCCACCACCAACCGATCCCAACAATGCCGAAACACTAAATGACGGATTCGGGATAGTTGAGCTCACCAAACAAAGCATGGACAAAGCCATGCAAGAAACAGGCATCGAGGAAGCCACTGATGAGCCAGGGATTGAGAGAGATCAAGACAATTTAAATACTACCAAAGATACTAACAAGCCGTGCATCTGCAAAAACACAAATGAGGGATCAGGAAAATCAGGAGTCGCGCATTGTACTGAATGGGCAACGAAGAACCTCTTGGAATTTGTTGCACGCATGAAGGACGGTGACGTTTCGGCTATGTCGATATTTGGTGTGCAAACATTATTGATCGAATACATAAATCGAAACAACCTTTGGGATCGCCGTCGAAAGAGTCAGATCAAATGTGATCCTGGGCTCAAAAGCATATTCGGAAAGGCGCGTGTTGGTCACATTGAAATGTTGAAGCTTCTCGAGTCTCACATTCTTGTAAAGGAGGATTGTCAGAATGATTCTTCTATTCCTGCTGGGTTTGTAAGTTCTGTTAGAAGTGATGGGGAGGTTGATGAATTGGAAGAAGATGTCAAAAGTGGTGACAGCAGTAAAAAGGGTACATTAAAACTGTCTTTCTGTTAAGTAATTTTACTATCTTATTCCTTTTTTTTTTCTTTAGATTTTAGATTACTGATGCATGCTTCTTAATTATACAGACGAATATGCGCGGCCAAGCTGTTTCGATTTATCTCAGAATAGAAGGAAACCCAACTCTCCGAACGAAGGT